TTGAGCATGATGGTGACGTCGCGGAACGTCTCAGTTTCACAAAATGGTGGTTTGCCTGTGAACAACTGAAGAAGCCTTTCAGCGACGGTTAGGGAGTCGTTGATTAATTGCAGCATACCTCATAACAGACGCAAGCGAAAGAGTACATGTCACTTTCTCGGGTACTCTTGGATGGATTGATGTGGCGCATCGTTTCCGGCGCCTGCCATGCCAATGTTCCTCCTTGGGTGGAAGATCGATTATCAGATGTCAACTCTGGAATTTGGGACGCAATGATGTTGGACAACCCAAAGTCCGTGATGCATGCTCGCACTGGAGCAGACGTTACAAGAATATTGAGCTTGAAAACTAGTAAGTTTTTGTGATATACATATCGGTGACATACTCCTTTCAAGTCGCCGTGGATTATTCCTTGTTCATGCAGATATTCAAGACCGGAAGCGATGTCTAAGGTCTATAACAAACTTCAGCAGGTGTGACTTGAGAGAGCGATATGACTGACAAGCAACAAACGGTTAATCTTATCGGCAGTGCTCCGAAGAAACTGCACAAGGTTTCCATTCTCCATCCAGGGGGAAACCATGCACACCGGAGAACTTTCCACATCTTCCAAGTAGTATATGCCATAGAGTGGGAGTACATTAGGGTGGGATAGTTGACTCCACAATATGATTTCGCGAGACCATAACTATTGACATGTTAGGATGTCTAAGACCATATGGAAAGACTCCTACCTTCAGAAATCCAACGGCTTGGCTTCGAGCAATTCTTGGACGCTTGATGGATACTACCTGGCCATCTTCCAGATGACCTTTCCATACATCTGCGAATCCCCCACTTGCAACCCACTCGCCATTGTCCACGCCTTGTAGTGTCAGAGATTTTGGGTATTGACCAGACTTGCGTGACAGATCAGTCAGGACCTTTGCGAAGTGTCTTCTGATTCCACCAGGTACATCAACAAAATCGATGATCTGGAAACAGGCATCGAGTATTAACCAAATGACACCTGTGATCTGTGAATCTGACCTGGGAGAGAAGATCAAGTGAGCCCTGGATGTCTTTTGGAGACTGGGCCAAAAATTCTTGATATGTCTCTTTGTGTCGTGTGCTGAGAAGCATCTGGGCACAGATTGTGAGAATGTCTAAGTGAATCATGTCGTGGATCTTGTCAAGTTCAAAAATATTCTACAAACTCATCAGGCATGTTCACACAACACAGAAGCTGGAACAGACCTTCCGCATAGTTTGGAGCCATAGCATAATGCGGGGCTGCCAAGCTAAATATTTGGACATCGAGGAAATGGTTGTACTAGTGGCCATTTCCAGATATAGATTCTGATATTCAGTGTCGTATGAAGACCGAAAGCAATACACCGAGCCCTGAGACTCGGTCAGCCAAGGCCTAATGAATAGATCGCTGGCAGTTGAGCATACCAACGGCAATTTGCATCCAGAAATGTCCATTCCAGCCTCTCGGATCTCTCTGATCACCGAATCACGGTCATTGACCCATGCTTGAGGGTCATTGAATGCCAAGGTCATTGTAGATGGAATTCGCGAGAAGGCTGATAAAAGGCTGTGGAACTGCCGATGCTTCTGATACAAACACACATCACAGGAGACATAACGTTGACTTGTTGCGAGGGGAACTCCCACAACATCAGTTTCTCGGCTTAAAAAGTCTATCACAGCGCCATATCCGTCGATGTCAATTTGATCCGATTCCTCCCAACATGTGTGTCCGGATCGTCGAATGGCTTCCCGAAAAGCAGCTGAATGTGTTGGCGGCGGAAGAAAGTCTAGAGCCAATAGTGTTTCATGGCCATAGCGTATGAAATCTCTTGTACGCTCAGCCTCGGACAGCTGTGTTGGAAACATATTCCACAACATTGATCCAAACCAGACCCGCAGATCCAGTGAGGGACAGTCTGAGTCTGAAACCAGCAGACGGTCCTGGATGGCGCGCCAGTCATCGAGCCTGTAGCGCCTGACAATATATTGCAGGCACGCCGGGTATAAATTAACCCAGGGAAGATATGCGTGGACGGTCGAGGCTCGAGGCAGCATGTGTATCATCTCATCCACCTTTTTGAATTCAGACATCTCTTGCTGTGATATCCATGCTTGAAAGTCACGAGCAGGGTACGATGAAAGGTAATTCAGTTGGCGCCATATCGCGTAAAGGGCGACCAAGGTAGGAGCAGGTACCCATGGCGGGGGTTGTGGATCCGTAATGGGTCTGAGATCGAGTTAAAAATTTGTTCCCCATCCAAATTACCAATAAACCTACATTGAGAGACAAGCACTGCACGTGGAGTATCCAGCATGTACAATGTCATCCTTTTGTGATGGAAACAGCTGAGATCTCATGAAAATCCATTCTTTCCAGTCAGCTGTGAGACAAGTATGGCCTTTAGCACCCATCGCAGCATCAAAACCTCGACTATCGTATTCCATCGCGCGCGCGAATAACCTTGGTTTCCCGGGTCGCGGCCGAGGCAGTGTCCACGACCACCGTTCCATCAAGCCATACATTTTATCTGCCCAGACCAATTGACTCCTTGACTTCTTACCTGCTGCCGAAGTGATTACCAGCCATGCAATCATAGCTACACGTATCTCGGGTGCGGCGGACTGGACCCGGTCCTTTAGCTCGGTTCGCACTTGTGGTCTTGGAACTCGGCCTTGGAGGACTGCAGCAGCTTGGAGCCAAGGAAGAAGGCTAACATTGTATGACCCACCCCACCAATCCTTGTCTGAGCCGCTGAAAATCTCCTCATCTCCATCCAGCCACAGCCAGATGTCTTCTTCCCCAGTTTCTCGAAGCAAATCGAGGAAGATATCTGGTGAAGCAGAGAGTGCTTTCCATATGAACGTTACCCTTGATCCTCCCTGTATCATGAGCTCCCCGTCTGTCCCAAGGACAGTGTTACCTTGTGCAACATTTCGAATAAAGACTTCGTCATCATTCGAGGATGTTGCAGTATTGGAAGGCCTGTTGGCCTGTGATGATTCCATGGTGGTAGCTGGAAAGCAAGGCGCTCAAAGTGATCGGGTGCAATACTTCTGACCATCACTGCGTCACATTCATAGTTCCGTATTTAGTCTCAGGTTATCCGATTTTGTCGGAGATCGTTAATTCAATTCATTTCCCACATTAGACCAAAATATTCTTCCAAGAAAGTTGTGCCCAACCTACTTCGCACTGGACAGTCCCTTTGAGACGTCAATACTCCAATTTCATCTGTAATAACACGTTCTTTCACTGCCCGAGACCTGGCATCGGGACCAAAGACGGTTACTCTTGAGAAATCATTTTTTAGGAAAAGCTCGGAAGAATTACATGAAAAGACTGGATGATTAATAAAAGTGCATTTTGAACAGCATACTATGGATAGACGGATCCATCGGTCTTTCCATTGAGCATTCGCAACAATCTCAGCCTGAATTGGTGCGAACGCTGCGAAGGTCATGGGCACCGAGGGTCATTTCCGGCCTTCTTCAATGAACAAACCTGTTCCACATCAGTGTTGACCCCAGACTCAAAAGAGAGACAACGTACTTCTTTGGAGCCACTCCGGTTTTGGGATCTCCCATAACATCAAGATAAAATTCGGACTTCACTGTCCTTTCAAAAAACACCTTGTCCGTATTGGGTTGGCACAGACGTCTTCTTCGAGTCATTGGCGCATGACCTTGCCTGCAGAGATTCTGTTGTAGAAGATTGCTTCATTGAAATGACCGTTATCGTCCAGGGCAAAGTCGGAACGAGAAAGCGATGCGTCTTGTTCGATTAAGTTGTGGCTGAGCTAGGAGTAATGATATTTCAATAATTGATCAGGGAAGGAAAGGTAGTTTACAGTATGATATCTTCAAGCTTGGAGAGTGAATGTGTCCGCGTCGGTACAGGCCAGCAATGTAAGATGCACGGCAGCAATGACCGTCTCTGGTGCGAAGTTGTAGACAGGCTGTAGACAAAGCGGATCGTCAGGACATGACTGACATTCGTGTGACTGTACTCAATGCTGACTTGACCCAGCATCAATGATTATCCAAGCAATGAGATTGCGTCTATCCCTTGGGATGTAGTATCTAGTAACCATATTACAGCCGTTGAGTTAAAGTTCCAAATCCTCACGAATCCCGAGCTTTGCGGGAAAATAAGCAGTGTATTTGGAGAGTGGTAATCCAAAGCGCCGTCAATGCTATGTTTGAAACCCGCTGACGATGATGCCGGTAACTCAAAAGTAGTTTTCGGCATCACGGTGACTTGAAACAATGAATCATGTACGGGAGCTCCGACTTGGAATGACCTTTATCACCCAGTCCGAAAGATAGCGTTGAGCCAAGCATGTTGTCGTGATATGGGGATAGATCTGCATAGCCTTGAGCCCTCGACTTGCTGTGCCGACATGCTGCAGCTGTGCATCATTATTTATAAAAGAGACTCAAGTACATACTGTTGTATTATCGCATCTTTACTTGAATTACTATCTTCTCTTCAACTTACCTCCTTGTGTGAATGTAAGACATCCTTCTGGAGTACTTGGAAAGCCTCAGGCTCCTTGACTCAGTCACCAAGTCTCGAGAGACTCGCCAGAAAGGACTTTGAAGCCTTGTTAGCTTTCTTTGTGTAAGTTTGCTTGAATTACTATACTCAATTACTTCTCTGGTACACGACACATGTCCTATGGGCGGAAGTTGAGTAATAGATCGTGTCCCAGTTCAATTCTGTCGCGCGTAGCCTCTTATAGTGCATTGGTTTGTCTACTAATTATATATGTGCTATAGAGCCTGAGCATGAGAAGTACCACGATGACCATGCAGACATCAAAAAGCGGTTATTTGTTCTTGCTTCACCACAGCCACAATTCCTCTCCCAAGACTCAGGTTCATGCTGTTAGATATGTATACTGGTTCTATCTGAACTCGATTCAAACTCAATTAGGGGAAACAAGCTCTGACGATCGTGTTGCGCCGGGTCGGCTCTCGGTAATGACGCCGTAGCTAAGTGGTTATAGCGTGCGATTGCAATTGGTGCTTCGAGTAGTTATCGCAAGGTCCCGGGTTCAACTCTCGGCGGTGTCTTTTTGTATTATCTCCACCGGGCCCATTCAGATTCAATGTAGATCGTTGAGCATGATCAAACATTTTAACACCTTTTGTTCCATCTACAATCCCCCAAGAAGCAACATATGACGTTGCTCGGTGGCCTGGAGCAGCTTGAGATGAACAAGGAAACAAGTAGATACTGCTTCCAACGACTTGAAGGGGATGATCCTCCCTATATTTCGTCTCCCACCCAATCATTTCCTCCTCCAGTTGCGTCCCAGTCGGCACCGGAGACCTCTTTTTCGGCCCTTTTGTAATTTTCCAAATTCTGCTAGCCCTGGTCGTGTCCCAATTTTACGTTGTAAGCCTGAATAAATAGATAAAGAATGACGTGCGTCAGATAGCAATAACTTGAAGCCAGAACAAAAACCCTGTGCCACTGTTGTACTACGAGAGAAGTCCCTATGCCATGCTATGAATGCCCTCGTCAGCATTCCACTGTGACCTTCCTTTTGTCCTCGACTCAGCATCATCATCATTTCCCAGATCATCCATAGTAATGACATTTTGTACAACCTTGACCACAAGATCCGGTGTGGTGCTTTCAGCCCCATTTCCGCCACGGAAGCCATGATTCGTGGTGTTGTGCGGTCTGGAGAGGGAATGGGACTCGGATGTGGAGTCTCTTATATGTTCTGCAAAAATGTCAGAAACTCGACGAATATATCAATAAGGAGAGAAGTACCAGAGAGATTGAGGATGAACCGTGAGCTGAATATCATCGTCGCTGCGAAACCGAGTGTCGATCTGCGTAGCGTCAGCCCACATCCGAATAGGAATCTTTGGACTTACGCAGAGGGTTGGAGGACTGGGTTACTGCTCTGGAAGAATATCAAGTTGACAACGTTCATGGCTGTTGTTGGATTTTTATTAGTATCGTGTCACCGAAAGTGTGGCGCATACATACCGGTCAAAGCGATAAAGTAGACAATACCATCTTGCAGCATCATTTTGGCGATGTGACTGAGACTGTCGAAGAGTCAGCCTCTGAATTATAAGGAGCAAGTGCAGACTCACGAGGTACGGCTGCTGCTGGAGAATTTCCAGAGATATATCGAGGTGACAGCCATGGTCACCACGTCGAAGACTCTGAAGGATTGTCAGGAAACATACGGCAAGTCCAGAGAATGGCACGTACAGACCCCCAACGTAGTAGAGCGACGCAATCTTGATCCCTGGAGGATTTCCCGAAGTACAACTAGACCGAAATCAGCTCGCATTCTTTAGTAAGGTTTGATAATGTGGCTCACTTTCCCTAGAGAGACAATCAAAACACGCATCAGCCAGACTGGGAATATCTCTTACATTATTTGAGAATGCTATTCGAACGAGATTTAGTATATGCTTTGCTACAAGTAATAAGACTCACGGACGCGCTTCCAGAAAGTCGAAATGAGCTCAGGCTGTCAAGTTGGGGTTGAAATTTGGTTTTTTTGAGATAGAAAATAGAGCTCACGACAGCGGTGACGACAAACAGAACAATGAGCATCCGCAGAACCATGGGTGACTTCCTGGAAACAGCATAGGTGCTAGGGGTTATATATTAGGACATGCATTGCCCAGTATAGAAATCGACCAACCGGATCGCCAGGATCACTTGAGATGTCATATACAGCAGCACTGTCGCAAAGCAGTAAATAAACCATATATCGCAGACACAGAGGAGGTTACACACATTTGAATATTGGGGTGAGCCAGAAGAACCGCTGACAAGACGCCGCAGAAAATCCATGGTAGAAGAAGCCCGTGTTTCCGAGGATGATGGATATGAGACCGAGATATCGAACCAGGATGAACAGGATGCACGCCACGCTGTTATTGTCAGTAAGCTTTGACCGAATACCAGAGCAAGTGACTTACGAGAGCTTCAGCGGTCCTTGTTGCTTCTTATATAACCGGTACTCTGCAGGCAGACTCTGGAGATAACTGAAACATAACAATTAGAATGTTTCGAGGCAAAGAAGATGGAGAGGTACTCGAAGAGAGCGATAGCATAAGCGCCGACGCGGAGGTAAGCAGCGATTTGGACTGTTGTGGTAGCCATGGGCGGATCTGGGATATCGTTCAATCAGGCTTTGATGGATAGTTTTTATACTCGGGAGGATTTTCTGACGATCTTCAGGTACCTACTACCCCACGATGTGTCGTGGAATAGGAGCAATGTGAGCCTTTGTAATTCTCACGAGCTGCCCGGATCAGAATTAGCTCCATTTATTCCATATTTCTTCCAGTACGTTCCATTTCTTTCCATTACATTCTACTACCTTCCAGACCTTCTAGTATTTAGGTATATAAGATCAAGTAGATGTATGGTTAAGGAGCCAATGTACTTACTTACCATTTGAACTAGCTCTTCTGCGAACGCCAGATTCCCTTCCGATCAACATACTGTGACACCGTGGGCTCCTGTATCTTGAATATCAACCCTTTAGTGACGCCTTGGGTTCCGTAAGGTTCAATCTCTCTTCTTTCTCACTGTGACGCTGTAAACCCGTGTATCTTGAATATCAACCCTTTAGTGATGCCTTGGGCTCTGTAAGGTTTGATCTCTCCCACTTCCAATCAAGCTACTGTGATGCCTTGGGCTCCAAAAGTTAGATCTCTCCTTCATTCATAAGTAAGACCTAAGAACAATCAGACTCAAGTATCTATTTGTAACAGATATACGACATGATGACAGGGGTCAGGACCTAGGGATCAATGAGGTGACCACTCAGGAGTTCTAGGGAGTTCTAGAATCGCCGGATAAGTCTGGGTTGATGTGGTTCTGCTAGCCAGTGGCCAATGGATTCGAGATAGTGAAGGATTCCTCTGCACAGAGCGGTAAGCACATCCTGCGGTTCCGTGGGGTTCTATGGCATGGGACTCAAGAGCTCCTGTTAACTTGCTGTCCCTGTCTCGGAGATCATCTAGGGGATGATACGACAAGATCGGTTCAAACTAACTAGACGAACCGAGTTTGTCCGGTATTCCAAAACTTATTAGCCAGAGCCACTCTTGGGAATTGTTGGGCTTTCAAAGAAATAATTCAAGAGCGATAGAGAGCGACGGAACTCGCTCGTCTTCATCTCCACTGTGATCGATCTCGGTACGGCTGAAACAGGACCGCACAGTGCAGCCGAGATCATGCCACGGCAAAGAGGCCGTCGGCCTATCTTTGCAGAGTGAACACTACCAACTTGAAAAAACTGACATTATTGCAGTCAACATATAATGTATTATTCGTGAGATACCGATACCCACTTCACGATTTCTGTTCCTCCGCCTGAATCCTCTCCATCGCCTTACCAATAATCTTGCTGCGCCTCAAAACATCTCTCAATGTCTGTTTATGATCAGGTTTCCATCCCGCCGGGAGTCGCTCCTCCTCAAGCCAGGGCATGACAAGCGATAATGGGACCCCCTCTTTCGCCTCCGATCCTTTTCCGAAAACTCCGAGGATCAAGGCTATCTCTTGTTTAGCTATACTGGCTGGGAAGGAACTAAGGGGTGGGGATTGCTTCTCGCGCCGAATACGCGCCCGAGCACCGGCTTCTTCGTCCAAAATGGCTTCACCATCCTTTGTCTGGGCATCTTTCAACAGCTCCTGTACCAAATCCTTCTGAACCTCAATGGGAGGATATTGTTGTCCGACTGGACAATCGAGATGAACCAGACTAGCGTCGTGTTCCAATCCACCATGTTTATCAAATGCAGTGAGATCGACTTTGGGGAAACGCCGTATGAGGACGAAGACGCCGAAGGAGAGAAGGAAGGATAATGGGAAGGAGAGGTTGAAGCATTCTTTGAGTCCCCGAATAAGCGTCCATATCCCCATGTTTTTACCGTCTCTGGGACTGCGATAATGGCAAGATTAGAATGTGATTGGAAAAGCAGAGACGAATATATGCATACATGTAACCATGATTGGCCATGGTGTTCAGCCCGGGACAGACAGAACGACTGTCGCCAGCCTGAGGTGCACGATATTCATGGCTGTCGGAAACTGGGCAACCCGAGCGCTCGCTCGAAGACATGAAGGGACGGGAGAAAAGGAAGAAGAAACGACTGATTTCGAGGGAGACTTTATATGGCAACGTTCAAATGACGATTAATGAAACGCTTGGTAAGTACTCGGGCGCCCAAGGTGCCCGTGTAAGGCCACGTTGAAGCCACGCCACCCGTGCCGTCACCTCCAAAGAAGACTGCACGTGCCGGCAAGTCAGCGACTTGAAATATCAGACGCCGATCAAGCGGCATCTGACTGGGATCCAAATATTCCATTTCCCCGACTATCAAGCGTGTACCCCCCAAAAGATCTCCTCATCTCTCTATGAGCCTCGGATTTTTCATCGTTTTGCCCATTAACACAGCCCATTGCCATGGCTGCCCTATCCCAGGCAGAGAATCAAAGTATTCCCATCCAGCGACTCCTCCAAAGGAGTCACCGTACTTCAGTACCAGCTCTTTGACACTTTCTACCACATCTTCTGGACTCTGATATCCACCACCAAGTTCAGGATTCGTCAACGTGGTCCTAAAATATCGGTCAGCTTTGAGATAATGCGCCAGAACAAGGAGAACTGACGCAACGAGTTTCTTGGGATCTAATCCAAATCTCACGATATCGATGTAGGTATCATCTGGGAACAATGATCCGAATCCGGAGTAGAATTGCGCGTTGTACCAGTCGATATGGGAGCCGACGTTATGCTCTAGCTCGATGTAGTCGAATCCCGAAAGATTCCCGTCTTCTGTCAAGGCAGACGCAACTGGAGCGAGTGTAATGATAAAATCAGGTCCGAAATCCTTCTTCAGCGTTAAGATGAGACGGATAATGTCTTCGATAGCGACCGTTTGCTCTACATCCAGATCCATCCCGTCGAGCTTGTACCTATTTGAATTTCAGTTCATGATCATGAATCAATAAGACTCGGACATACTGTGTGATGTAAAACTTCAATATCGGATAATAGGTATCGAAATTTTCTGGGGTG